TGGTTCTGGTACAAATTTGGTCGGGAGTCGCGAAGCTCTAATGAAAATGCTATTTACTTAAGTAATCTTGCAGATAAGGAAACGCCGTCGTTATGGTAAAAGTACACTACCCGACACTGATGAGACCCGATATAGGTCGAAACAGCTGTCTGTCGGTATTTGAAGTTGGTGGAACGCACTCAAAACAAAAAACTTTAGCGAGGGCGAATTTTTTTCTTAACATAATTGTTAAAAGCTTTAGCCTAAGTACAAATGCAAAGAGTTAACATAAATAATACCGAGATGAAACACTGAGTTCCATAAACAATAAAATATTAAGTTAAGAACAAAGTTATACAAAAGGAAATAACAAAACAAAGTCATTTATTCAAAGGTCAGTGTAACGCAAAATAGAGGCCAAACCAAATCTAAATATCGAAATTTACGATAAATGTAGCTCGGTGTATGTGATGAACTCGACAACATGAGATTGGAACTCAGAGTATGCCCGTCCCCAAGATATTAAACCCAAACAATGAAATAGTAATACAATACAAATTATTACCAAATATCACTTAAAATACAGAAAATGATTAAGACCCAATAAACTAACCTGAAATATAAGCAAAAATAACAGGTAGTTGTTTGTCACCACTAGCAAAAATTACAATTCATAATAGTGTACATACCTTGTTATAACAGGAAGTTGGTAACAATCACAATAACTATATTTATTTTATAATATATTTATGTCAAAAACTTTTCCAGGCGTATCGTATGACGATCAAGACCTTTCTGCCTTTCTTCCCTCATTCTATTTTTCCAATATAAGAAGTGAAATTTTAAAACTCAATAGGTGAAAATAGCGCCTAATTTGAATTTAACATTTATATACCACAGGACCCTTACAGTGCTTTTGGAATGTGATTTTTCACAGAACTTTATTAACTCTGACAAATCTTCTGCCACTTCAGGACCTGACTGTGACTGTGATCTTAGATTCATCCGGGATCTTTCACCTCCACTCCTATCGCTTTTGTTGGCTAATTAAGGTACTACTGTCTGTCCACGATAAGTTGGCGGACCGAAGGAATTAAGTTATTTAGTTATTAAACAATTGTCGTGTTGTGTGCTTTTAAAACGTATTTTTTATAATATAAATAATAATTTTATATATATTTATATATAAATAATAATAAAAAAACATAACTAAGTAGGTATGTTTTTTAATATTATTTTTTTAAACTGCATGAGCATTCCTTTGCTCCGCCAACTTAATAATTGACAGACTGTAAATAATTAAATAGTACACTTAAATGACACATTTATTTATAAAAACTTAAAATAATATTTATGACAATATTTATTTATTTATTCAACAACTCTTGTATTTCAGATAAAGATTTCCCACTTGTTTCAAAAACAAAATAATATACAAAAATACCACCCAAAAACCCTGAAGCAGCAAAAAATAGAAATGCAGGTCCTAAACCTAGATAATCTTCTAGATATGGAAAAACTGTAGCTATAAGAAATGAGGCAATGAAGGTTAGAGACGTTAGGAGACTGGATGCAACAGATCTAACATTTGATGAAAATAGTTCACCTACTACGACAAATGATATTGGGTATACACCGATGCTGAAGAACAACATGTATAAGATTAAACATGTTACAGGTATCCAGTTTATATATGACACATCAACGCCATTAGTTTGAAGAAAGAAAAATGTGCTTAGAGCTGTAAGAGCCAGACAAACACCAGCTGAAGAAATAAGTAGCAGTACTTTTTTACCAGTTTTTTAAACGATTAAAGATGTCAATAAACAAGATATGACTTTAATAATACTTACTAGAATTGAAGCTGGATGAGATGGTATGGCACCACCTGCCGAGTCAAAAATAGTTTGCATGTACGCTAAAATAGGTCCTATTCCTACTAATGGAGTTATTAGTAAAAGTCCTATAGAGATATAGAACGCCCTCATCAAACCACGTGATGTGAAGACATCTTTTAAAGTACCTTTACACTGCGATTTTTCACAGAATATCATCAAATCCGATAGCTCTTCTGCTACTTCAGACGCTGACTTTGATCTTAGCTTCATCAGGGATTTTTCAGCCCCTCTCCTGTCACCTTTATTAGCTAGATACAAAGGACTTTCGGGGATGAACGTATATAAAACTATAACCAAACCAGCTGGAATGGCAAATGTTAAACTAAACAACCTTATAGATAAATACGGTCCAAATAAATAGCAAAAAAGAACTCCCAATCCAGTGAATATAGCCATGGAAGAACTGATTCTTCCCCTGTTAGATTTCTCAGTTATTTCCCCAAAATACATGCCCACTATTTGATAGGTACACCCTAGCGCCAAACCCTGTATAAACCTAGCGACGTAAAAAATACGGACATCCTCTGCAAAAGCCAAAGCCACAAATGAAATTACGAATGGTACTGCCACACAGAGTAGTGTCACTTTTCGACCGAATCTATCGGCAATTTTTCCTGTCACAAACGGACCAATGGCGGCCCCTATGTTCGGTATGCCTGCTATGATCGAGCGTTCGTCGGTGGTGATCGGTCGTGATAGTGGATTGTCTGTACCAGTCAGTTTTGGAAACACCGGTGAAGTCCAGGATAGTGTGCTTCCGCATTCAAATGATAAAAAGTTTACTACAATTAAAAAATACTGTTTTTAGCCAGTTGTATGAATAACGCATTGTTGAAAGTTGGGATTTGATATTTGTAATCCTTTTTTGGAATACAATGTATTTGTATTCGAATATCAAATAAAATAAAGTTTGTATCCGAATACCATTTTCGAATACCCTTGTTAGAATTGTATTTTTTATTTGCACGAAGATTGTATTTGTCAATCAAGGTTACGTTTACAAATATCGCATACAAATTTTAGAACACATTTGAATACAGTAATCGGATACACAACATGTATTCGATAACGGATGTGGACACGGTATAGAATACATTATTAAAAGATAATAAAATTTTGACAAAAATAAAGGAATAAAATTTACTTACCTGTTAAAGCGACAAAATATATGTAGAAACTCATGTTCTAAGTACTGATTTAAGTTTTGGTTATTAAATTATTGTTAAAACATAATTAAAAAAAAGGTAGGTACACTTAAACTTTTAAGATAACAAATATTTAATTTATTATCTAGGTAGCCAGTAGCAAAATTTATTTTTTTTACATCGAGATAAAAATTGATAAATATTAAACTTTAATTATTATTATTCAAAATTTTTGTCTGTTGAAGTGCAAACAGCAGTAGTACTAGGTAGGTAAGTATCCATTACAAACATTTTGCAAATCTTCCACAAAAATATGGGAATTTTCCCTATGACCTCCTGAATATTCTCCCAAATTTTCTGTAAAAATATTTTTATTGAGCTGTTTATTTATTGGCTGGTTAGGGGAAGATAATACTTCGGTTTTACCCTCAGTATATTCTGGCAAAGGTACACTTTCCACATTGTCTTGGGTATTTTGTATACAATTTCTTACCTCCACGCCCATTATTTTAAGATCTGCATTAATTCTCCTCCGCTTTTGCCTCCGGGATAGGGAAATATATTTTTTTCTATTTTTTTGTTCCATTTTATTATAAAACAATGGAATCAAATTTAACTTAACTTAAAACACAATAGAGAGCACTCGACACAACCGTTTAAACGAGTTCGTTAGTAAGATAAAAAGTCTATATAAATACTATAAAACATTAATATATAACATTTATATATAATTGTTACAATGTAGGTATAAAACAATGTTATATAGCCATGACATAGTAGGGATTTAAATATAACAAGGACGGATCATTTTTATATAACTATTATATTAAATGTTTTATTATAATTATGTAACAAAATAAAGAAAAACTATGTAAATACCATATAAAAAGGTTATATGGATACTATAAAACATTGCCATATATCAATATGTATTATCTTTGATATCAATGATGTATCATTGTTCCATTGTAGATATATAACATTGTTATATGGCTGATACATAAGGGGGATGTAAATATAACAAGAGGGGAACATATTTATATAAATGTTATATTACTATGTTTTATCATAATTGTGTAACTAATATGTAAATTTTATGTAAACAATTTTATATGACAATGTTCTTTGTTAGTTATATCATGGCTATGTAAATGGAACAGTCTGGTTTGCTGGGTATCCTTTATACCGAATATATTCGAATACACTATATTCTAGTACCTACACTAGATTCTAGTAACTAGAATCTAGTGTACTAGAATATATACTACTATAGTCAGGGCCCTGATAGGTATACTAATAAAAATACGATTTATGTGGACTTGATGTATTTATAAGTATTACATGTTATTATATCATACAAAAGATTACATATGGGAGTACCCCATAAAAGCTATAAAAAATACACTGAATGGGCATAATATAGGCAAGCTATTATCTATAAGATGTTTTCAAAACGAAAACAAGCTTGATTGAGCTTAGACAATATCTAAATAATAATAAATTAATAAATGCGTTATCTGGTCGACTGTTTATTCCTTTAAACTAAGTTTATTAAATGGTATGGTTTAATTACTACATTACGTTTTACTTATAACATATTACATATAAACGCTTACATATTGCTACACTTGAAAATGCAGTAAAAATATATACAAAATTTGTATAAAATTATTCTGAACTTACTTGTTATGTATAAACTGTAGAAAAAAGGCCCTTATTTTGGCAGTTCTGATTGGCTACTTATTATGTAGGTAGTTAAATTAATTAATTTTGAAATCGATCACATAAATAAACTTAATTAATTAAACAATAATAATATAGTAAAAATAGGATCTATCATACTCTTAACTTAATCATAAAATAAATAGAATGTATAAAAAATAACGCCATTAATAAATATAAGTTGCAGCACTCCTACTTGACTTGATATACGAAAAAAAAACAAAACAAAAAGATTGTTTGGCTTTTTTTTAATCACTTAGTACTCCCATTGGGTGGCGGTTTCGACCGAGGTACCTCCAAGGTTGAAGGAACCATTTTTGCTTGCCGCCAGGTAATTTCCGTTGGCAGACTTGATGCAAAGTCTTGTGGGCTCCCTCAGCTCCAAGTAGAAGCCTTCAGGGGTGTCCGAATCGGCGTTTATAGTCTCACTGTCGCAGTGCCAGTACTTGCTGTTTTGACCTATGTATACAACAAAAAATCAGCTAAAAGGTGGAATAGAAAAAACGATTTTTAGTCACCTTTAAAGTAGACCACCCCTTTTTCGCCTCTCTCCACCTGTATCGTCTCGTAGTTGGCCTTGTTGCACTCCAGCTTGGTGCTGCTCTGGGATTTGTATCCGACGAAGCCTTGTTCCGATTTGAGCACCAAAATGGGGCGGTTCACCAAGTAGAAGAAGTACTTGCAATTGTCATCGATAGCGTCAGATGTGGCGAAAAGATGCCCGGAACGTTTGGTGATCACATAACGGCCATTGTTAGCACGGAACACTACGGAACCGTCGTTTTGCCAGACCAAGTCGAACAAGGAGTTCGATGATCTGAGAGGAAAAAAATGGTTTAATAGATAAAAAAATCATCGAAAGTTATAAACAAAGTTGAACAAGATCTGGAAATAACTTTCATTACCAAACAGTTTGCAGAAGACTTTTTTAGTATAATACTATGCAAGAAGAAAATAAAGCATTTTGTGTAGAAGAAAACTATTAAATCTCGCAGTCATAACAAAAAATAAAACCATTAACTTTAACAACCACTGCTTGTTTACCAGCAATAAATGGAATGCTATCTAATTAAAGTTATCTCGTTATTTATTGTTGTGTTCTATATTATAAAGCTTATAGTTATTTAATGATTCTTGTTTAAATAAGAAAAAACCTTAACAAGATACCCCTGCAGGGATTTTAAATTATTGACCTAGCAGGATGTCTTCAGGAAATGATTGCAATTTATTTTCATTGCGGAATTATTAGAGAAAAAGTATATGCTGCACAAATGAAACCAATTTGTTGCTTTATCTGTACTTTTTATTCTGACAAGTGGAAGATGTCTAAAGTTAAGAATGTTGATGAAGATAAAGATGAGCAAAATATACATTCCATCAAAAACGTAGTGGGAATTCGATGAGGATATTCTGCATTCTATTCTATATACAACAGTTGTTGATTTACTGAGTTGACCTTAGCCCTTTAGCTTCTATCGAGACGAAACGTCACTTGGTGATGAAGAAAAAACACCAGAAACAGTCTCACCTCTTTTCTGAAGCCGCCTGGATTCCTCCGGTGGTTTCAAGGGTCCAGTATTTATCCTGCATCGTACGGATGTACCATCTTTTTGTGCTCCAATCGTATTCCAGTTGGAAGGTTTCGTGGTCGGAAATTTCGTCTTGATTGGCAGTAACATCAACACCTGCAACACAATGAAAAGAAGTTAATAGTTTAACATTTAAACTGAATCGGATATACCTTTTATTAAAATAATATCTTCTATTAGAATAATGTTTCTATAATATTAAAATGTCTGAACTTTACTTTACTATTTAAGTACATACGTATGTTTTATTAATTCAAACTAACGGACATTAATTAGTAATTATTTATATTATCCATGATGCGAAACCTTTTAATTGATATCATGAACAATATAAACAGTTAGGATTGCTGGCATTTAAAATTACACAAGCAAATGCTACTAATTAATTAATGTACTGGGTGTTTTTAAAGTATAACTTTTGCATCTTATATCTCAAAACGAATTTTCTATCAACAAATTTTCCCACATCAAACAATCTTTTCAACAGTAAACCGTGATTGGACAGCTGCGTACTTTAATAATTAAGCACATAACAGCTGGTCGTCATGGCAATTCAATATGTTGTTACACTATTGACAGCCAGCTCGGCCTACTACTTGTTTGGCGAGTGGCAATTTCACTGATGATGCGATCGAATTGCAGAAATGCAGTTTGAAGCCCTGAGGGCGTGTTTTTACTGAAAAGCGACAAATCTTGTAAATAAAGTATAAATTCTAATTTCTAAAAAGTTTTAGTTCTGTTTCATTCGGTCTAGATCACTGTTAATTTAAGTAGATAATTTAATAACGCTCCTACCAATTAAGCCAAAAAAACTGGAATTGTATAAAAACCTCGCAAACTCACATAAATCGCAATTACGAAATCTTTTTATGGAAACAAATTAATGACCGGGTGTACGAATATAGAAATCCAAATAAAATAAATCTTGACAAAGCCATAACACTTAAAATTCTTCCTGAATAAACTCGAAGCAAGTCTCGAGATGAAAATGTGAAATGGAATTATAAATGTCTTGTGGAAAAACGTTTAATTCAACTTCTGGTGGTTGTTTCTTGAAATTTGGAAATTATTTTCTTCAGAAAATAATCTCTCTGCGAAGCAATAAGTGGTTTATTGCTTTCTATACATGGAGATAATTTTCTATAGAATTAAACACATTGTGTTCCCATATCTCATATATCTTCCAAATAATTTTCTTCGTATATTAATTAAAGTCATCAATAAAACATCCTATGTGTCAGCGAAACCATTCGCACAGGTATTTACATGACGTTCATTGGACATTGCAAATGAATCAACCACATGTTTGTACGAATAAATCGCATCTAGCTAGCAATTAACGATAATTAAAATGTGCAGGAAACATAACTAATGTCCTACATGGAAATAACTAAATAATAAAAATAATGCTTGCGGCGATAAGCAAAAGACGATTTTGATTCTGATAAACGAAGAAAAGCCCGATCGGTTAAAACTTTGAACTTAAAAATTATGTTTCATATTAAAGCTTAAAGTTGAGATGGTTTTGTAACAAGATTACTGAATGTATAGTAGATTACGGAATGTATACACTGAAAAAACAAATCTGTTTTATCAACCAATAAATTTTTTGTTGCAATTGTTCTTGTTGGTCCTAATAAAAAATTTGTTAACCCAAGTAAAGTGTTTAATACATTAGTATTTGCAACAAAAATGAATTTGTTGGAAAGAATTAGTTTACCCTACTGACAATATGCGTCGCCGCTAATAGGTATCCTTAAGTAAACATAACAAATATATTTTTGTTGTCAATTTTCGCCCAAAATTGGCATGACGTGACATTGAAATTTATTTTATAAAGTTGACCGACTTGGTGCCATGGTTAAAGTTAAGTCTTGGTGTCATAGTGATTGAATATTAACCCGTAACCGGTACTGTGGTGTCTGGGAGACACTCATCAACGAACAAAGCGCTGTCACACCCTCACCTTTTGTTTTAAAAATCTGTCGCTTCCAATACTTTTAAGTTGAGCAGTTATCAATATGCTCTCAGACTTTGAACAAGTTGGATTGTCAAACGGACAAATTATTACGAGTCAAAATGTTGAGGTGTCTAGTAGACCACTGAGTACCGTTTACGTAATTTTTATAAAACAATTAATTTCTTATGGATTCGCAACAAGGGCTTTCTAAAAGTGTCCAAAGTGATAAGAAAGGCTTCAAGGAAACTGTAATGTAGTGGTTTTATAAAATCGACAGCGATATAAGTAATATAGATGACTGAAGTATACTACATAACCATTATAGTGATTATAATCACATAAATGTCGTTGAAGACAATCACAGCAGCGATTCAGGACTTGTCTGTGAAGAGTCTATAGAAAATAATTTTATGGGGTCAGATAGAGAAGAATTTGAAATTTTTTAAGAATTTGAAAAAAAAAACAAAAAAGTTACTATGGGAAAAATAGTTGTAAAAATCAGCTATAGTTTGAAGCAGTTATTTTTGCTGTTAAAAAAAGATATATTTGAATTTTTTTTGTTTATGTTATTTTTTAAGGTATATTCTTCGAAATAAAGATCGTTTTATTTTGTTACTACTGCACTTTATGTACATGTTTTGATTAAAACCTATTTGTTTAAATTTTTCTTTTATTTAGGTATTATTTAACTTTATATATAGTTCCTTGTATCCCCAAAGCCTCAGATAAAAAAAATAATATAAATTATAATTTTAAAAGGCAGGTGTCTCTCAGACCCCTTAGTACTGTTTATGTCCTGAAAGTCGTACCGTACCGGTTACGGGTTAAAAAAATAACTTGTCACTGTCAAAAAATTTTGTGCAAATGCTAGAGGAAGCAGGTTTGCGTTAATTAATTTTTGTGCATTGGGCGTTACGGATGAAGGAGTAAACCAAATATTAACCGAGTGGGGATTTTCTTCATTAGAAAATACCTTTTTTGTTATATTATTTTTATGAAATATTTTTTGAAATATAATTCGTCTAAAAATATGTTGTCTTTATTTCAATTTTTAACCATATAATAGGAATATTATCTATAGATATAGATAGTTGTAATTTTTAATTTAAATGTATTTGGGTGTTTCGCATATGAGTAATTCTTTTATAAACCGAACACCTTTTGACCGACACATCTCAGATTTGGCTGAAACTTTTTTTACGGATTCTATGTCGAAAAATAAAAGATACGTGTCCGAGGAATTTTTTTTCTCTCGCATATTTTCGATAATACAAGTTATCGAAAATTTGAGAATAACGAGTTTTTTGGCTTGGAGACTCATTTTCAAAAATTTATAACTCTGGTTCTATTTGAGCTACAAACTTCTTTTTTTTTTCATTTTAAAGCTAAAGGACTGAATTTTTATAAAAAAATATTTTTAATAAATATTATTAACAAATTCATATTGTTATTAACAATTTCATTGTTTAAATCAATTTTTAACAATGGCCCCCACCTCGTATTAAGTTTTTAGTATTTTTATCGTATTCTCCATCAAATTTTACATAAAAAACATGTTTTCAAAATATGGTACCTTTATTATTATTATTGTTAAAACATTAATTTGTATTGCGCGACACATAAAAAAACGGTTTTTTGTTAATAAAAAGAAAACTATAGCTCGGATGAAAAAAAGTCATATATAAAAGTTGTAGATAATAAAAAGATATACAATTTTTATTTTAACTATTTTTTGACATAACCTCACTTTTCAAATAAATTGAAAAATTTCAATTTATTTGAAAAGTAAGGTTATGTCAAAAAATAAATAAAATAAAAATTGTAGATATTTTTATTATCTACAACTTATATATTAGACTTTTTTTGATCCGAGCTATAGTTTTCTTTTTATTAACAAAAAACCGTTTTTTTTATGTGTCGCGTAATACAAATTAATGTTTTAACAATAGTAATAATAAAGGTACCATATTTTGAAAACATGTTTTTTATGTAAAATTTGACGGAGAATACGATAAAAATACTAAAAACTTAATACGAGGTGGGGGCCATTGTTAAAAATTGATTTAAACAATGAAATTGTTAATAACAATATGAATTTGTTAATAATATTTATTAAAAATATTTTTTTATCAAAATTCAGTTCTTTAGCTTTAAAATGAAAAAAAAAAGAAGTTTGTAGCTCAAATATAACCAGAGTTATAAATTTTTGAAAATGAGTCTCCAAGCCAAAAAACTCGTTATTCTCAAATTTTCGATAGCTTGTATTATCGAAAATATGCGAGAGAAAAAAAAATCCTCGGACACGTATCTCTTATTTTTCGACATAGAATCCGTAAAAAAAGTTTCAGCCAAATCTGAGATGTGTCGGTCAAAAAGTGTTCGGTTTGTAAAAGAATTACCCATATTTAAATTAACTAATACCAATATCAAATCAACCAAGGTAAGTAAGCTATCAACACTAATAATATTAGTAATGGTTACCATAAATATATTTACGGTAACCAAAATAATTTTTGTTAAAAAAAATCAAACAATAGTAACCTATACCTACACAATATTGTTAATGAAACTCTTTTTATTAATTAGTATTACATACTGAAAGAGTTGATTTAAGAATATTGTGTAGGCATAGGTTAATATTGTTTAAGTTCTTTTAACAAAAATTATTTTTTGGTGATTAAAAGAACTACCAAATGTTATAACAACAAAGCATCAATGTTGTAGTTACTCATTACCATAGCTTTTCCAACAAATTATTTTGTTTTAAAAACTAATAGATTTATAATGAAAACAAATGCAAAAAGTTATAGAAACAAATAAATTTTTACCTAAAACAAATGTAAACTGTTTTAACAACAAAATATTATTGTATGAGATATCAATAATATTAGTTACTTTAAACAAGACGCCATAGTTTTGTCAACAAAAAATATTAGTTACAGTAACATATTATGTCTCAACAAAAAAAATTTGTTGTTGTAACAAAGATTTTAGTTGAGGCTATAGCTACAAATAAAATTTGTTGGCGCAACTTTTTTTTAGTTGCTTAAACAAATTATTTTTTTCAGTGTAGTAGAGGCATGTCCTACACAATTTCAAGCATTTTATATCTAAACAGATATGCCTTAAAAAAATC